AATCTCTTTAGTGGAGCATACCTATTACGCCAGGGGAAAAATCAGTCACTTACGAGATTGCCATCTCCGTTGCATGAACCCGGTCACGACCGCCACGGACAACATTCGGAGATCGCCCGGGTGGAGGATCAGTTTCACGACCCAGGATATGAGTGAACTGTTGTTCGTGTTCCAAAGACTGCGGATTGGGATCTGATGATTGTGNGCAGGTTGTGATCTCTCTCTGGAGATTTTGAAATTGAGCCACCGATCGAACCGTAGGCAGCGGTGATATGAGCGTGTAAGATGCCCAAAGATACGGCCAACAGGCAAGGGACAAACACGTCGTCCTGCGTACTCTATTGGATAGGGACATTGGGCGGGGGAAGGTATTCATACATTGCGCGCCGAATAAAAATAAGAACCATTTAGTGAAAATACGCTTATATAGTGTACTTGGTCGAGTACGGAGTAAAAGAAGCATGGACTGAAAAGTTAGGAAGCACTGTCTGAAAGCAACGCTCTCTTCAAAATAGTGAAATAGTCTCGTCCTTGATGAAAATTAGCAGAAGTATCTACCTAGAAACCAAAGGATACAAATCAGACGGTACCATCAACTTGAAAGTAGATGCTGAGACCCCAATTACCCATCTTATCTACAAAACTGGCTTCGTTATCACAAAATTACATATTGAAAGTCATGCTATTTCTAACGAAGCTCAGAAGGCTTATCAAAGTATTCTCTATTCAACTTCATATCGGGAAAAAAGATGTTTCAATTTGATAGAGATGAGTATGTTTCATTGCACACTTCCACACGAGGAATAAAAGAAATTGTAGGCAGTTCCCATTCCGCGGCTGATGAAGACGTACGCTGTTAGGCATGTAATCAGACAGCGGATAAGAGAGAAACCACCTTGGTGGATAGATTGGTATTGCTGTACGGAATAAGTTGTCACGGTAGATCAGTGAAGATTTCGCATAACAACTCATCTCTCGGCAACAAAAAAGCATTGTGGCGAGTGCGAATCTGGCCTTTCAATCACCAAAGCTATCACTATCCCATTAGTGCTCTACACAATGAAGTTGGCTGTGAACGGGCCAGAGGCTCTAAGAGAAAATGGCGAGTGGAGCTAGGAATGATGACGATTTGTACCACGTGCCGAAGATCCTTCACGGATTCTTTCATGAAGCTGATTCATTCCAAAGCAGGAGAAAGTCGAATAAAATGAAAAATATATACAGACAATCAAGTAATGTCAGGAAGGACAAACCAATAAAGGGAACTTGGTCATACCAAGCAGTGTGTTGTCAATGCACAGCGCCGTTCATAAAAAAACTGTTGCTCCCGAAGCAACCGATACCACCTACCTTACTCTTCTCAGGATCAATCAACAGAAAACAGATGGCTTGGAGAAACTGTACAAAAAAGTGAAACATAATGTACGCGGCCATCCGAGAAGAGGTGTGTTCACGCCAATAGTCCCAGTAGAGGGGTGCAAATGCAGTACGCAGTACGCCCCAGAAGAATACCTGTACCCATCGGTGTCTGGGTTTTGTTTTGGAGAACACAGAACCTATTGAAAAGAGCAAACAGAATGATAATAACTACGATTTGCAAGTCGAAGTACTCATCACAGGTGAATGAAATTTGGATGAATCAAGTTAAGCGATGGCGGGTGAAGATCACTGAATACGTGATGGCAACAGATCCGTATTTTCGATAATCAAGTGTGAGCACAATCAACAGATATTCAAGGAAGGAGAAAAACAACAATTCACTTTCGCGTAATCACATAAAAGTGTTCAGTATACACCTATCCTCTAGATCAGCCTCAATGAGAGACTATCCGTTACAGTAGCGTTGATTTCCTCTAGAAATTCATCACGAACAGTTTGCATTATTGTACAGTAAGCCTTCCGAACATGCGACCTGCTTCTTTCGCTCTAATTCATGTCCACGTCTAAACAATATAATCATATCACTTCACAAGCACTGACGATGTCAATTCAGCTGGTGATGAAACGTTTGGAAACAAATTGTCAAGCTCGGCGAACAAGCGAAATGGAATATATCATATCACCTCGAGTAACATGAATGATGACCACTTCGGGACTGAGTACTTTTTGTAAACGTTTCTGAAAATATATAGTGAATCAATAATCAAATTATTTTCGGAGGAGCAGAGCTGTGCTCTATCGAGTGTATCTTCAAGTCGTCGCGAAGTGAAGTACTGCCAAATTTGTAGCAAACCGTGACCAAGGTTGGCGTGAGCGATCGAAATAACCGCTCGCAGATGTAGTCAGTTGCCGTTTGGCAATGATTCAGAAAGTTCGGTTCAGTTTGTACAACCATTAACTATGCGCCGGTTTCGGTTGCTGTCTTTTGGCTGCCCATTTGACAGAAGAATAGAAGAAGACAGGACAGTTGAAAGTAGAGTCGATCAGAAAATAGGGAATTTCAGTGTTGCCAGGAAGTTGAGAAGATACATGAATACCACTGTTTACGACAGCCATATTACTCAGTGTCTCCAACTATCGGTTACGGTCATCCCGAGGCCCCCGTCAAGGGAGCCTAACGGTACCTCTCTGACCGAGTTCCCTGGTCAGTGTTTTCATACCCTAGTGCCAGGTCTTAACTTGACCACCCTTGGCTCTATTCCACCCACTACTGATCTCGATTAATATCGCTCACGGTGGCAACCTATCTAGTGACATGTGTAACACATGCCTCAACCATCGTAATCCATAGAGGTCGACCAATTGCTCCAGTGGGCGACCGCGACTGCCTAAAACTCTACGCCTAACCTCAGTATTGCTCGTCCGGTTATCCCCATCAGACTCGTGCAATGCTGCGTACACAGTCGTGTTCAAACAACGACAATCTATCTTTGTCCTGAAAACTTAATGGCCAAGGTTCTGCGCCGTCGAGCAGAACTGGCCGAACTGCCGTGGCATACACTCGACCCCACACAGACAACCGGATGTCGCGACGGCGCCACAGATGCCTCAAGTTTGCAAATGTCAACCGAGCCTTCTGTATGAGAGCAGACACTTCATCCATGATGCGTCCACCGGGTGAGATGTAGCTACCCAAATAACAAAACCTATCCACCTGCTCTATTACCTCCCCAGTTAGAGTGAGTTTGGGTGCTGGGCCAACCCAGTCTTGTAGTAACATTTTACACTTTGAAGGTGCAAAACGCATACCGAACATGGCATTCAAGCAGTTCAAAAAAGCTTGCAACTTACCTGCATCTTCACTTAGCAGTACAATGTCGTCTAGATCAGACAATCTGCCACCTGGAAGTAAATGGATGCCGCTATTCCTCTGACGCGAGGATAGGGCTGTTTCCATAATCAGATCTATAACAAAGTTGAATAGAAAAGGAGAGAGAGAGGGCAACCCTGAGGAACACTACTTTCCGTGAACTCGGGGAAAAGGTGCCGCGAGCTCGGACTCAGCTTCGGCTATTAGTATAAAGCGATCGTATTATGGAGCTTCTCATATACATTCCTCAGAGAAAGACAACGCCAGAGCTTAGAACGATCGACTGAGTCGAAAACCAATTTCAGATCGAGGAAGACAAATGGTGGATTTACGAAAGGGGTGTCTGTGTTTCAGATTTTGGCGGAGAGTGAAGATGTGGTCCATACAACATCGACCTGGTCTAAAGCCTGCCTGGTTCTCACGCGTGCACCGTGCGGCTGATAATCGTGTATTGTGTATTGTGTATAACTTTTGCAAGCACTGGAGCTCACATTTCAGTTAAAAANAAGCATATACGCTAACCGTCACAACGTACATAATCAACGGGGAGAAAAGTTTTCACAGGCATGAACACATTCATAATCCAAGGTTAAGACAAAGTTCATTCATTGTTTGCTCTTTGTTTGTGAGTAGACGAGCAAGATACGGTATGGGTGAATTGCGGTATGCATTAATCCGAGATGAAATTTGACGAAATTGGGAGCGTGTTGAATGATGGGAATGACAAAGTGTCAGTTCTGTATACAATGGGTGGTCCGGATCCGTGAGGATCCTCTCGGCAAATTTCACACAGGAAGTTACGTGATACTCGGAAAGCTTTACAGCTAATTTATTCACAGGAATGGAAGAGACACGACTAATAATGGTTAGGCCGCGTCGTAAAACTTTGAAGTCCTGTTTGAGTAAACCAGGAAAAATAATCGATAAAGTATGATGCAACAGAGGAGTTTAGAAGCAATGTTGATTAACTTAATTCCTCTGTGGTTTTCACACGATGTCACATTTCTTGTAAATTGGAAAGATGGCTCATTCACGTCAAGCAGTTGGAACTTGTTCATTTGTCCATATTGACCCCAAGAGTTTAGTTAACTCTACAACCAAGGCTGAATATAAATTATTGAACACCTTTTGTTATACCGATTGTCCTTTAGTGTATCGGAACTGCAGTTGGTCGGTGCATATAAAGTACTGATGAACAGACACCTTTTGGTGTTGCTTCCTTTCCGGAAGCTGATTGGCCCCTGTAACAGCATGGCACGTAATTGACTGTTGTCTGGTATCTTATCGACAAGATATACTTCGGCCCTATTACCTACCGGGCGATGTACGAAGGAACTAACTCGAGGGAAAATCTCGCACACTTAAGTGGCTTGTAGTAGTAGGATCCTGGATTCGAGTTTTCGATATGCAGCCAACATCGATTTCTAAGGGGTCTATTCTGTGCACCAGACAAGCTTGCTGATCCACTTGCATTAGCGTTATCTCATTTAAGATCCCTTAGATTCAGTGAATGAATGCTTCAGAATCTGCAATTGATTTCGTGGTAAATTACTTATTGTGTTAATTGATAACGAACTCAGACGAGTTACAACCAAGTTGCTCGATGGACTGTTACAGATCTTAAGAAGGGAAAAAGGGGAGGGTTGGGTAGAGAGGACAAGGGACAGAAGTGGGATATCTGAGGAGCAGCCCATCTATCACTACCACACCCCGCTCGATGCAATGATTATCCTCCGCGCCGACCGATGCAGTATGGAATTATTTATAGTTTTTCTATGCATTGGAAGTTGATGGAAGAGATAGAATAAATAGGGTTCTTGACCAAAGCTTTGGGTTCTGACAGGAACCAGACCGCAAGGCAACGGATGAACCGAATTGAGAACCCATCTACTCGGATTGATGACCGCTCCCTCATCTTACCGACTGACGCCAGCTCCAGTCGAACCCCCAATCTGGAGACTGGACTTTGTTTGAGCTCTACCGTTCGCTCTTAAGGGGCCTGATAAGGTATTTTGGATTTATAAAAGCTCGTGGAGTCCGACAAGTACAACGGCCACCAAACAAAATCAAGGTGCAGTCTCGTCGTGATGGGCTTGCACTCAGCCTCTGTGGTCATCAGCCGGATGCAGTCCTGAGCGTTAAGCACCTCGGGAACTAGACTGCAGCCGAAGATAGTGTTGGAAAGAGATCATAGCATGAACAGAAAAAGCTAGATCATCTTTTGTCGACCTGTGACACATACGCGCAGCCGTGATATTCATCTCTCTGTTAAGAAAAAGATGTACAGCGGGAATGCGAGATCTGGCTCGCCCACGACTAAGACGCTAGCCTACTCACCCTATTCGACCTCTGATGCCTTCCAAGCATTGCTCGTGGGAACCGTGTGACCAATTACGAAGTGTGTCATTGCGTGACGTTTGTTCTCAGAAAGAATGCAACGCTCTAGACTGTCTCAGATGACTCGATGACTTTTTGCGGACGCCAGCGCACCGCCTACCTCTCCGTGCTCTCTGCACGTGCTGCGCAAGGCTGGGTCAGACTATGACATGAGGTCAGAGTACGAAGAAGTCAGCTTACCCACTGGCTTCGGTTGATCCAGCACCAACTCCAGTTTATGGCCCAAAGGATGAGTATTATCGTAGGTTGCAAACCCCAAGATACGGTTTAGAATACAATTTGGTGACGAAAACGCTGTACGGTCTGTCTGGCGAAATCCATTGCTCATAAAAATGACAGGTCCAAACAAAAATATCGAAGTTTACGGTTAAAGAAAAATACTTAGTTGCTCTTGCTTTCTAGGTTCCTTGTAATTATTGGTTTTCCATGACGTTTTCTCCTATCTACCCTTCGCTATTATTATTGTTGCTGCGTTGTCAGTATGCTTACTCGCAAACCGGTGATGAATACAACATCTACAACGTACTTGGGATTGTGATTATTTGAGAACCCTTAAAACAGGCCAGCAGCGTTATCCAGGCATACATAAGAGAACTTAAAACAAGGAGAAAAAGTACCGTTATAAATCAAACCTAAATCACAGCGTAACAGCAATCAGAACACCTGATCAGAAGTCAAAAATGTTGACACATCATTCACAGTTATCCGGAAACTCACCTCGGACAAGATCCACATCTATAAAAAGATTATGTCCTTTCTTGTCTTCATCCGGAGTGCTTTTATCCATTTCCTGAAGGGTAAATAAAAACAACAAAAGTCAACAAAATTATAATCAATTATAATTACAAAAATTACCACCCACTATTGGTTCGCGAACCCATATTTTTCAATTTGAAATGGTCTCCCCCCCCTGTATCTGAGTAACATGATTTGGATTGATTCTTGGTAGGAACTCAACCGTCTAGTAGTTGATTTCGAGAAACAACTATGGGAATACATTGTGCAAACAGAAAGCACAAAAAATCGTCCGTTCAAATAAAACTGATACTCTCTCAGCAGCTGTTAACATTCTGGGGAGGGGAACAAATTACATGACACGATACTCAGGGAGTTGTTGTTGCTTTAGATGACTAGCAAATCAATATTTAGCTTTTTCATTTTTTACGACCCCGGGAAAACTATGTCTATATCGCGTGTCACAACATTGTAATTTGTAAACAAAACACTGATTATGAGAATGACCGGGTGAAAAAACTACCGGATACACATAATTTACGAGCGGCAGCGACTAAAAACAGGTCATGTTTCGGAAGAAACATGGTCCAATCATTTAGGTATTACTAATAGTACACCATATATATTGTTGATTAGATAGAGATTTCTTGCAAACCGCTCTTATTAAAATGTGGCATTCGCCACAAGTTTTTAATAGCAAGCATCCAATCCATTTTCATAACCGTGTAATGAACAACGGGAGGGATGAACTCCAATAGCAAAAAAGAACCTTGAGTTTGGCAACGGTATCCGTCAAGGGAAGCCCAAGAATTAGGAGTGGTGAATTACGTTAATTTCCAAAAGGATAGCTGCAACAAGGAACTGGGCGATTGCAAAGCTGTCTATGATTAAAGTTGGTTGTTGAAGGCGGAGACCGAACCATGCAAAAACTTGAGATCATTGATAACCAAAACCCTCGCATAATTAGAAGCAAATCGGCAAATTTAGAAAACCTCGACATCGGAGAAACGGACCGAATTGCAAGATGCATGTATTAACAGCTAAAACTACTTCCAAAAGTTATTGGTCAAAAGTAAGGTCAATATGAGATCAACTTTGAGAATCTACTCCTATTACCTCTCAAAATGGCGCAAAGAGCACAGTCTTAGGTTGCAGCAGATGTGTGTCAAGCTTTTACAACTCTAGCAGTACAGAATTGGAACAGCCTACCGAAATCGATTGTAAAAAGCCTTAGTGCAACATTTAACAAGGCTTTAGATTATAGCTAGACAGTTGTGATTTCTGAAATAGTTTCATGGTCTGTATCTATCTGTTATGTGCACAGTGCCGTGGGACGTGATAACGCGCAACGCATTCGACCTTTTGAAGAAAAAAACAATTGAATCGCAGTGTTAGAAGCCACAAGATCAGCCGGTAACAAAAGGAACTAGATTCACGGTTGGTCTGAGTGACACATATGTTGCGTTCGGTCTAGACGTACGAATGACACGAGCGACTCTTGCTTAACCCTCAACAATAACGCGGAGGGAGAACACATCTGGAGCCAAAGAAAGCGTGTATATTTTTCTGATTAGATTTCGATACGAAAATATATGGAACGAATCGCGCATACAAGAACGGTGTAGTGATGCACTAATCAATCAGATTGCGTCCGTGACACATCGACTGGACAAACATTGACTGATTTGTTCCAATCGGGCTCAGTTTGTCTGGAGCGTTACGAGCATGTGTGGCCTGACTCGGAGGGGTGCGCGATCCGACGGGTTGCTTAAGCTCTGTCCTAACAACATCATCGTGTGCAAGCTGAACAGTAAAGCAGATTTGAACCAATAGATGACGAGGGGGCGATAACCGCGTAAGCTCTAATCCTAACTTACTGCACAACATTTGGACGCAAGAGCATATTCTTTCATCTTGGGACGAATCGCTGATCGTTCCATTTTCAAGAAGGGATCTGACGACGATTGCGAAAAACAACGTGGGATAAGTTTCAATCCCAATCGTCACCGAAGTGTTAGCCTCCGTCATTTTTGCCGTCTGACTCCTTTAAGAGAAACCAACTGCCGAAAGCAGCAAGCCGGATTCCGGGTTAGACGTAGAAGTATTGATGAAATTTTTACGTCACATCAGGTTCTTAAGCTGCATCACACCCACCGTCGACCAGCGATCGCGGTACTCCTTAACCTAAAAGGAGTCTTCGACTCAGTTGACTGTGAAGCTCTGATGAGATTCCCTCTTTGGAAATGAATGCCACAGAATTACGTTAACCTACTGGGGTCAAGGTACTCACATACCTCTGGTCGAAAGAGGGTTTATTACGAACTAGGTGGGCTGTTCGTCCCCAGAAGCGGCGTTCGTCAAGTGCTGTGATGACACTAACTACTTTTCACTTTGTATGTAACCTTTCCCTACTGCGTCTCATTGTTTACCTCACCAAAGCCACTATTTTGGTTAGAGCGTGTTTTCTTCCCCTTTCCTCACTCATTCTTAAGCTGCCGTACCTCCTGTTTTGGCTCTCTAGGCTTACACAATACAACCACCGTACTTTTCGTGAAATGTCTCAGTTTTGTTTTCGTACGAACGCTTGTTTGTGACAGCTGTATTATCTTGGAGTTCCAAAAGAAACACGCCTATAGGACCCTATTTTGCCATCCCTGTTCAATTCCGTCAGAGAAGAACTACTGGACAGCGCACTAAGTGGTCTCCAAAATGTAGGTATTTGAAGGTTCAAAAACTAAAAGGTGGACAGCAAACACCAAGGTATGCTGAAGTCGCTGTATCTACTCTACTCAGAGGCAGCACTCGAAAGGTTTTCGAGCCCATCAGTTGTAAGCAGCACATGGCATAGGAAAGAAAAGTACAACCGAGAGCACCGAAAGCAATCTTAAAACAACAGCTCCAACAAACAATCCCCTCCCCCACCTGAAACTCCATTACTCTGTAGTACGGAGGAGATTTACCGGGTAAACCAGGGGGCAACCAAAGTAACAAGCAAAAAAGCAGACAGGGTGATAAAAACAACACCGCTAAAAGAGATTACAGGTAGAGA